ACTTCTGTTGACACCAGCACATCTGTGACCACTTCTACCCGAGTCAGTTCATCTCCTACCATTCCTGAAGTCATCACCACACCAATCTCAACTCCTAGTGAAGGAAGCACTCCATTAACAACTATTCCTGTCAACACCACACGTGTGACCAGTTCTGCGGGCAGCACCCGTTCAACACCTTCTGTTGACAACAGCACATCTGTAACAACTTCTACCCAAGTCAGTTCATCTCCTACAACTGCAGAAGTCACCACCATGCCAATCTCGACTCCTAGTGAAGGAAGCATTCCATTAACAACTATTCCTGTCAGCACCACACGTGTGACCAGTTCTGAGGGCAGCACCGTTTCAACACTTTCTGTTGACACCAGCACACCTGTGACCACATTTACCCAAGTCAATTCATCTCCTACAAATCCTGAAGGTACCAGTATAGTAACGTCAACTCCTAGTGAAGGAAGCACTCCATTAATAACTATTCCTGTCAGCACCACACGTGCGACCAGTTCTGCGCGCAGCATGTTTTCAACATCTTCTGTTAGAACCAGCACACCTGTGACCACTTCTAGCCAAGTCAGTTCATCTCCTTCAACTCCTGAAGGTAGCAGTATGGCAACTTCGAATCCTAGTGAAGGAAACACTCCATTAACAACTATTCCTGTTAACACCACACGTGTGACCAGTTCTGAGGTCAGCACCCTTTCAACACCTTTGGTTCACACCAGCACACCTGTGACCACTTCTATCGAAGTCAGTTCATCTCCTACAACTCCTGAAGGTAGCAGTATGGCAACCTCAACTCCTAGTGAAGAAAGCACTCCATTAACAACTATTCCTGTCAGTAGCACACATGTGACCAGTTCTGAGGGCAGCACCCATTCAACACATTCTGTAGGGACCAGCACACCTGTGACCACTTCTACCCATGTCAGTTCATCTCCTAAAAATCCTGAAGTCACCACCGTGCCAATCTCTCCTCCTAGTGAAGGAAGCACTCCATTAACAACTATTCCTGTCAGCACCACACGTGTGACCAGTTCTGAGGGCAGCACCATTTCAACACCTTCTGTTGACACCAGCACACCTGTGACCACTTCTACCAGAATCAGTTCATCTCCTACCACTCCTGAAGTCACCACCATGCCAATCTCAACTCCTAGTGTTCGAAGCACTCCATTAACAACTATTCCTGTTAGCTGTGACCAGTTCTGAGGGCAGCACCCTTTCAACAGCTTCTGTTGACACCAGCACACCTGTGACCACTTCTACCCAAGTCAGTTCATCTCCTACAATTCCTGAGGTCACCACCATGCCAATCTCTACTCCTAGTGAAGGAAGCACTCCATTAACAGCTATTTCTCTCAGCACCACACGTGTGACCAGTTCTGAGGGCAGCACTCTTTCAACACCTTCTGTTGACACCAGCACACCTGTGACCGCTTCTACCAGAGTCAGTTCATCTCCTACCACTCCTGAAGTCACCACCATGCCAATCTCAACTCCTAGTGTACGAAGCACTCCATTAACAACTATTCCTGTCAGCACCACACGTGTGACCAGTTCTGAGGGCAGCACCCTTTCAACACCTTCTGTTGACACTGGCACTCCTGAGACCACTTCTGTCCAAGTCAGTTCATCTGCTACAACTCCTGAAGGTACCAGTATTCCAACCTCGACTCCTAGTGAAGGAAGCACTCCATTAACAACTATTCCTGTCAGTACCACACGTGTGACCAGTTCTGAGGGCAGCACCCTTTCAACACTTTCTGTGCACACCAGCACACCTGTGACCACTTCTACCCATGTCAGTTCATCTCCTACCACTCCTGAAGTCACCACCATGCCAGTCTCTACTCCTAGTGAAGGAAGCACGCCATTAACAACTATTCCTGTCAGCACCGCTCGTGTGACCAGTTCTGAGGGCAGCACCCTTTCAACACTTTCTGCTGACACCAGCACACCTGTGACCACTTCTATCCAAGTCAGTTCCTCTGCTACAACTCCTGAAGGTACCAGTATTCCAACCTGGACTCCTAGAGAAGGAAGCACTCCATTCAGAACTATTCCTATGAGTACCACACGTGTGACCAGTCCTGAGGGCAGCACCCATTCAACACTTTCTGTACACACCCTCACACCTGTGACCACTTCTACCCATGTCATTTCATCTCCTACAACTCCTGAAGTCACCACCATTCCAATCTCTACTCCTAGTGAAGCAAGCACTCCATTAACAACTAGTCCACTCAGCACGACACGTGTGACCAGTTCTGAGGGCAGCACCCAATCAACACCTTCTATGGACGCCAGCACACCTGTGACCACTTCTACCACTGTCAGTTCATCTCCTACCACTGCTGAAGTCACCACCATGCCAATCTCAACTCCAAGTGTTCGAAGCACTCCATCAACAACTATTCCTGTCAGCACCACAGGTGTGACCAATTCTGAATTCAGCAAAATTTCAACACCTTTTGTTGACACCAGCACACCTGTGACCACTTCTACCCAAGTCAGTTCATCTCCTACAACTTCTGAAGGTACCAGTATGGCAACCTCGACTCCCAGTGAAGGAAGCACTCCATTAACAACTATTCCTGTTATCACCACACTTGTGACCAGTTCTGCGGGCAGCATGCTTTCAACAGCTTCTGTTGACACCAGCACACCTGTGACCACTTCTACCCAGGTCAGTTCATCTCCTACAACTCCTGAAGTCACCACCATGCCAATCTCTACTCCTAATGACGGAAGAACTCCATTTACAACTATTCCTGTCAGCACCACACATGTGACCAGTTCTGAGGGCAGCACCCTTTCAAAACCTTCTGTAGACACCAGCACACCTGTTACCACCTCTATCCAAGTCAGTTCATCAGCTACAACTCCTGAAGCTACCAGTATTCCAACCTCGATTCCTAGTGAAGGAAGCACTCCATTAACAACTCTGCGTGTAAGCACCACACGTGTGACCAGTTCTGAGGGCAGCACACTTTCAACACTTTCTGTTGACACCACCACATCTGTGAGCACTTCTATCCAAGTCAGTTCATCTCCTACAACTCCTGAAGTCACCACCATGCCAATCTCTACTCCTAGTGAAGGAAGCACTCCATTAACCACTAGTCCTGTCAGTACCATCTGTGTGACGAGTTCTCAGGGTAGCACCCTTTCAACACGGTCTGTTGACACCAGCACACCTGTGACCACTTCCACCCAAGTCAGTTTATCTCCTA